CTAGGGTTACTCTGTGATCTGCAATTTAATCCAATCGGTCTGACAATGGCCACAGCAACTATTCCACCGAGGTTAATAAAATGCCTTACTTAAGTATAACTATGGCTGTGGAAATTCCCGCTTTGTGACTGGTTGAAATTGGACCACTGCATGATTGATTTGTAATGCCCATGGACATTCAAATAATTTACAGCCTTGCCAAAAATCATGAAATTAAGTACTCCCAAATTCAAGCAGGAATAAGGTATTTGGAAAAGCTCTCAAACTGTGCTCACCCGAGGACTCCAGCAACTTTGAGAGAATTCCTCAAGTTCACTGGTAGTGTAAGGTTTCTTGGCTCAACATATGTGCAAGCTACAATGTTCATCATTAATTTCATTGTATGCTAAACAATCAGAATTTGCCTTTCACACACGCAATTGTAACAATATAGGCAAGATTTCTCATCAGAATTCCTTTTGTATTTTCTGACTCCTGTTAAGTACATTTTCATTTTTTATCAACCACATGTATTTCAGTAATCACAGACTGGAATTTTGTTAAAGCAGAATGACAGCCTTTTTGTAGCCAGATCATGATATGAAAGTTGGCCGAATTACTAATGCCCAAAATACATGGAAGAGGTCAATGAATTTACACGGAAAATATTGAATTTAGTATTGAACATTGAATTTATTCTTTTGTTTGGCAGTTTTATTCTGGACTAGACACATAAGTTATCTACTTGTATCTGATTGGTTTATAAACAATGGAATTGTGTGGGATACATTATGGCTTGCACTTACATTCGTACAATTTCCTATACTTAATGTGAGGTCATTGAGACATCTTTGTATCTGCATCAGAAAAATTCAGAAGCATTTCAAATCCCCAGAAAACAAACGATCAGAAATTATGACAATGGACTCTAAAATCTGTAGTCCAAGTGTTTTAATAAACCATTTACTGTTCAAATTATGAGATCATAAATAAACACATAGTAGATTTTAGTTTAAAGGGACACAGTCAGCTTTGGGACTGCACTGACCTGGACACTAGTTTTCTCATTTTGAAAAAAGTTCACCTCAACCTGAAATCAAAGTACATCTAGAAATCCACTTCAATCTTCGCATCGTTTTGCTTGATTTTCAATCGTTTACTGAAAAATCTGTTTTTGAGTGTGCTTTTGCTCACCTATGATATTATTTTTTAATCATATTTGGTTAAAAACAGTATGGATCATGTCTGTGATATGCAAATTAGCAATGAAATGTAATCTAATGCGCATGTGCGCCAGCTGACTGTGGCCCTTTAATACTAACTGTATTTACAAAAGTAATCATTTACCATCAGGGCCTTAGCTTACATTATTTGCTGATGATGTGAATACTCAGGATGGTAAGAGAGTGGCAGGAACTAAATCACATTTCACAGAAAATAAAACAGTGACAAAGTATTTATACCCCCCCCCC